AAAGTTATGTAGCCCTGTCTTTATTCATTTAATTGCCAATGAAAGTGGCAGTTAGTAATTCCTCCTCAAGTTATATTAAAGCAGTCACTTAAAATAACGTGGCTCCATGCTGAATTTGCTTCAGTTAAGCCATATTTTATTTTGCTAATGATTTTCCAAGTTGACCCTGACCTTGAAGTTGGTATTGTCAACACTTCTTGACATAAAAGAAAGCATGATTTAGAGATGAGTGCATCAATTTATTCTTTATTTTCTGTCTGTATTTCAAAAAGTCTTTCAAATTAAATTTCAGATTGAATATTTTCCTGAATACTGAAGAGGTTAGTGAGTTAAGTAGTTATCAATTCACATGGTTTAAATTAAATGAATTGTATATACAGGAAAGGAATTTTGCTAATATCTTGAATTGTGTGTGTGTATGCATACACAATATTTCCTTCTGGATTACCCTTAGAATTGTTAAATAATTGAATTTTAAAAATCTCAATAATGTAAATTCACTTAAAGAAAACTTCTTGGACATAATTCTTTTCAAGGTCCTAAATTGCTGTATTAAAAGAATTAATATAAAGCCTTAACATGGATTTTAGGCTATAAAAATATGATGTAAAATATGACATCAAAATACTCTGTTTTAAAATATTGATTTTTGACAAATGTATAGGCAATAATAAATCAACATATTATATTTGTTCCTGCATGAAATATATAAAATATCTAATATATCCAGCATGTCTATCTTATATTAGAATATAGTTCTACATTTTGTACTTTACTGCCAATTATGGTCGTAATATAATAGAACAAATGTGCACAATTATGACATTCTGCTTTATTTCTAAGTGAAATAAACTGCCACATAAATGGAAATTTCATCCTTTCTGCTGTCAGGACTGCCGATGTACTTTAAAATCCATTTGAAAGATGGTCTGGAACACTTTGGTAAAAGACAATGTTGTGTGGCTAGGCACTTTCTTTTTTTGAAGCTCTGTTGGGTGCAGCAGTCTTTGGAATTACCACTGACCCTACAGCAACAGGCTACTTTTCAGTTACTCTAGCTGATGCTACAGTTTCTTCTAGTGCTCCTTTACTGGCTTCTACTGTTCTGCTGGGAGTGTCAGTCTGCCACTTTTCCATGCTATTTTGCTAGGTATTATAGCATTTGTCTGATTGCCTTCCTTTTGTGTAATCCTTAGCAGTCCTAAAGCAGTGTATATATACCCTAAGTGTTACAGAGACAGGTGGGACAGCTGTTTCAGTTTTTATTCATAGCCTTGTTCCTTCAAGAACATGGCAAGGGGCTGGATTTCAGAATCAAGTATCAAATTAGAATAACTACTTGTAATGATAATAATGCTATTAGGAATAATAATATATTGCTTTGATATAGTGCTTTATAAGACAGCATCACTCATAATGTTAAATCTGAATGTCTACAGTGAAGAGGGGAGAATGCCTCTCTATTTTTTGTGTTACAATTCAGTAGAAGGGATTTGCAGATCAATAATAATCCATGCACATTGAGATCACTTACAGTGCTGGAAATATTCCCAGAGGAAATAAGGATTAATCCTTTTTGTTTATGTAACATAAGTTTTCCAAGGCTTCGTTGGATTACAGATACTAAAGAGAGTCACAATAAAGTTAATAACTCAAGTATCATTGTTTTTTGCCCCCACCTATCAATGTAGAGGGCATCTAGCCTTTTGCAAAGTTTCTCTTCTCAGGTATTTCAGAAGTTCCCTGGGCGCTGTCTCAGCTATGCTCCTGAACAAGTCTGTTTCTGTTAAGTGTAGCTACTGATCCACGAGGCACTTCAGTCTCTTGCCAGATGGTGCTCTCTGCCTGACTTCTCCACCAATATTCTCTTTAACAGCCAAAGCTGTGTGATGAGCTGGGGTGAAGAGGGGGCAGGGGGATAATGTCTTTCTTTCTTTGTGTTATGCTCTATTAGAAGGGTCTAAAAGTAGCTGAATTTTTTTTTTTTAACCAATGTTTTAATGAGACAGTTGTCTTAGATTTTTATCAGTGCTTCTTTGTACTTCACAGGTTACAGGCATAAAACCAGTGGGGTTTGTCTGTGGTAGGAGACAAATTCAGACAACAGAAAATACTCAGTATTTAGTCCTGCTACTCTTTTGACACTAAGATTTCTTAGGGCTGCAGGTCATCATAATTAGCTTCTTTCCGTAGGATTATTTTTACATTTGCCTTTTGGTTGATTTGCTGTATTCACCAGACCTTCCAAGACTTGTCTGAATCCTATGTAAAGATAGCTAGTGACTCCCTGTTTCTTTACTGTCAGTTCCAACATTCGCAGTAGCCCAAGAAAGGAACCAACAAGGAGATTTACTAAAATCAAAACAGGAGAAATCTTTAGAAAATCTATATGTTTCTCTATAAGATTGCATTTATGAAAAAAGAACCAACAAAGATCTCTTTTCACTTCATGCAGACATTGAAGTTCTGTCAAAGGTTGTGTTAGTTCCTGTATTAGGGTTCTGAAGACAAATAGTAGCAATACATACACAGTCATGTGTCACTTAATGATGGGGATATATTCTGAGAAATGTGTCATTGGACAATTTCATCATTGTGTGAACATCATAGAATGTAATTATATATATTTAGATGGCATAGCCTACTATAGACTTAGGCCATACGGTTGTAGCCTATTGCTTCTAGGCTACAAACCTTTACATCATGTTACTGTACTGAATTGTACAGATTATACAGACATACATTTAAACATAGAACAGGTACAGTAAATATATGGCATTATAATATTATGGGATCATGATAATATATACAATTCATCATTGACTGAAACATCATTATTTGGTACATAACTATGTATACAGGAGAGTATTTATTATGGGAATTGGCTCTGTGATTACGGGGGCTGAGAAGTCCCATGATGTGCTGGCTGCAAGCTGGAGAATTAGGGGACTAGCTGAGTAAGCTCAGTTTAAGTCTGAAGACCTGAGAACCAAGGGAACAAATGGTATAACTCAGTCCAAGAATGAAGACCTGAGAGTCTGGGGAACTGGTGGTGCAGGTCGTGGAATTCAAAGACTGGAGAACCTGGAGTTCTGTTCTAATGTACTCAGGCAGGAGAAGATGGGTATCCAGATCTAGAAGAGAGAACAAATTCATCTTTCTTCTGTCTTTTTGTTCTATCCAGGCTCTCAACCGATTGGATGAGGGCAGATCTTTCTTACCCAATCCAGTGATTCAAATGCCAATCTCTCTGGAGACACTCTTACGACATACCCAGAAATTATACTTTACCAGCTCTCTGGGTATCTTTTAACCCAGTCAAGTTGATGCCTAAAATCCTGTCGAGTTGATGCTTAAAAGTAACTACTGCAGTTCCTATTTAATTCTTTCAGGACAGGTAGATGTAGAAAGGAAGGTTTAGCTTTACTGTGCTTTTATTTTATAATATCTGAGGGCTAGTTGTTAGTGGTAAATTTAAGGAAGTAAACGTTTTTACATAGTAGAGAATTGTATTGCTGTGCCAACTTCTTTTTGGATTTTGAGGTGACATCCCAGAGTTTTTTTAGAGTGGTGCCTCTCTAAGTAGAAAGTCATTAGGGAACAGGAGCAGTGCTTCTGATTTATTTCCAACCACCCATGTCAGGAATAAAGTGGGAATTAGCATGCCTCACCAGTTAATGTAATGGCACTGAGGCATATCTCCAAGAGTGCTAGTACTTTTGAGAACTGTTTCCTATTCATTATCCAAGAATTCATGTTTATCTCCTGTTTCTGTCTTTCTGAGGATGTTAATAGGGTTCAGCTGAGGCTCCTTTCACATGTAACAGATCTTTTTCTGGTTCTAGTCTCTGTTCTATATCTTTTAGAAGTTCCTTAAAGTTTCTGACTTGTGAATGATACCTTCTAGTTTCTAGCACTGACAACTGTGTCTATTTTATATACTTTTTTTGAAATTTTGGAGTGGGATAAGTTGAGTATGAGTTTGATTCACCATTTTGAACAAAATTATGCTTTTGTTACTAATATTGCTATTTATTGCATTAATATTGCATATAATGATAATTGAGAGAAGCTGATTCCACTACTCTAGTAATAGCCACCTAGAACAACTGGCACATTGTTTTATACAGTTAACCTTTATGTTTATGTTATGGAGATTGTTTTCAATATATATGTTAATTGTTTTAAAAATCCAAGTTTGTTTCAAAGATGTATTTTTATAAATGTGAGCTGAAAAAGAGTTTATCTTCTACCATCAGTTAAAAATGTATTTTAAAAAATTATTAAATGATTGCTCAATTGAGAATGTGTTAGCTCAAGAAAAATTACTGTTGTGCTATACTTCATTATTCTAGTTTCTGATAAAATCAGGTGCTTAAACTTTTTGTGGTTCATACTTAATTTTGATATTAATTATAGTGGATATAAAATAAAGATGAATAGTGATTTCTCATGTCACAAATGATTTGTTATTAAAAGACTGATCTTTGCTTTAAGTATTAACAATAAAATGAATGAGAGTGGTGTCTAACTTGTTAACTGTTAAGAAAGTTACATGAATATGTTTTTAAATACCAGGTAATTAGAAGTTATTTAATGTCTGTTGGTGATGTTTGCATTTTTTAATCTGTTTAATTAGGGTAATAGGTTTTTCCATTCCTTAAATAATACAACCCCCCCTTCCTTTTTTTAAATGATGAGGAGCTAATTTTCATTGTCCTTAAGGTTTTAGATTAAGTATACTGCCAAGAGCAAAGCTGTTTATATTGGTTGAGAATATGCTAGTGTTAGAGGCACTTCTCTGGGAATCCTAGCTGACTCAGGAGTGGGATGGGGCACAGCAGTGACAATTTGTTTGGGATCTATCAAAGAGTACTTTAATATTTACTAGTGGAACCCCTTGGCTGAAGTTATCCTTACTTTAGATTTTTTACTTAAGTAAAGTTAAGCATTGTTTCATGATTTATTTAAACTATATTTCATGTTCACTTTTTTTAAAGGGTGTTTCCAATGCAACTTTGAAATACAAAGGTATACATTTTGGCAATTCTTCAGGTAGACAAAAGTTACCAAAAACATCAGGTCCTGGTCCTGGACACTATGATATTGCCCAGTAAGTACAATGAATAGTATACCTTTAAGGTAGTTATTGGCTGTAAAGTATTCTAGTAATTCAGACTAGGCTATGCTGTTAAGAGCAGAAAAAATTGGCCAGGCGTGGTGGCTCAGCCTGTCATCCCAGCACTTTTAGAGGCTGAGGCGAGTGGATTGCCTGAGCCTGCGGGTTCAAAACCAGCCCAGGCACCTCATTTCTACAATAAATAAAAAATTAACCAGGCATGGTAGTGCATGCCTATAGTTCCTGCTACTTGGAAGGCTGAGGTGGAAGGATCGCCAGAGCCCAGTGGGTCAACGCTGGGGTGGCTATGAGCATGCCACTTTGCTCCAACCTGGGTGATGGAGTTAGATTCCAACCACCCCCCCAAAAAAAAGAACAGAAAAAAAATTGTATGAAAAACTCCAAGAAATATTATATTTTGGAGTAACTATATGAAAGCTACTACTTTTTTATGAGCTAGGTCCTGTGCCCCCTACTTTACATGTATTACCTTATTTAATCTTCACAATAAGCCTCTCTATAGTTACTATTATTGTACTATTTTATGGGTCAGTGATGATAAATAAAATGTTCAAGGTCATGTGGCTGTTAAGTGACAGAGCTAGATTTTTTTTTTTTTTTTTGAGTTGGAGTCTCACTCTGTCCCCCCGACTGGAGTGCAATGGCCGCTCCCGGCCACCGCAGCCTCGCCTGCTGGGCTCCGGCGATCCTTCCGCCTCAGCCTTCCGAGTAGCCGGAATTACAGGCATGCCCGGCTGATTTTTTTTGATTTATTGTAGAGATGAAGTCTGGCTGCCCAGGCGGGTCTCGAACCCGCGGGCTCAGGCAATCCACTCACCTCAGCCTCCCAAAGGCGTGGGATTACAGGCTGAGCCACCGAGCCCGGCTCAGAGCTAGATTTTAACTGAGGCCTGTTTGATTATATAGTCCATGTATCTGTATACTAAAATAAGGTAGATGAAATATCAGAAAAAGTATAAAAGAAGGTGACCCACAATCTTCATTTTATCCCTGGCTTTCATCTCCATTCTTCTAACTATGTGATGGCTTTAGAAGGCATTCCCAGTTACTGTAAGTCAGAGTTATAACATTATGTTGGAGGTAATATTTACAAGTTTAACTAGTAAACACACTTCTGGCAAAATAACTCTATCTTCATCTTCACCTAATCCTGCAGTAAGAACTTAGACATGAGTCCTTGGAAGACAACATTGAATAGCAAATACCATATTGTCCTCAGAATCTACTACCCCTTTTCATAATTAATACTTTTAAGAGTTCAGCTTATTTGCCTGATTTTTTCTCTCTCATAGCATGAGTTTTCTCTCAAGAAGTACCATAGAATTACATACTCAGTCTGCTAATTAGACGCAGACACGCCTACTGTGTATTAGCAATGGACATAGGCTATTCTCTTGCTTGGACTCCCCTGCTACCATTCATTCATTGAACAAACATTGTGTGAATTTTTGCTGTGTGCCAGTACTAAACTTAATAACTGAGAATAAAAATAATAAAATATTGTTCTCGTTTTTGGGAACTTATCCTCTAGTCTATTGTCTTTTTCATTTTTTCACTTTGCTGTCATGGAAAATATACTTTTCTATATATATTCTTTTTATAGTTATGCTAAAACCTTAACATGCATATTTAGCTTAATGAGTTCTTTATTTAATATTATTATCATTCTTCCCAACAAGACAAAGTCTATAGGCTACTCTAACTCTTACCATAGCCTTCTTGACATAGGCTTTTGTTGTTCAGTATCTTTTTTTTTCTGAGTTGGAGTCTCACTCCTTCGTCCAGGCTGGAGTGCAGTGGTACCCCAGCGTTGACCTACTGGGCTCCAGCAATCCTTCTGCCTCAGCATTCCAAGTAGCCCAGAGCTACAGATGCGCGCTACCATAACCGGCTATTTTTAATTTTATTGTAGAGACGAGGTCTCGCCAAGTTGCTGGGTCTAGTCTTGAACTGGCGGGCTCAGGCAATCCACTTGCCTCGACCTCCCAAAGTGCTGGGATTACAGGCTGAGCCACCAAGCCTGGCTGTTGTTCAGTATTTTAATCCTATCCTTTTTTTCCCCCAGACTGGTTGGTTTGAGCTCTCTCTTCTTTTCCCTTTTCCTCCTTTCATAATAAGGCTTAAATAACATAAAGCAATACGCATCTTTTAAAAAGTATATCATTCTGTGATGATTGCTTTCCATCCATTCTACTGTACTTTACTTCTGAATGAGTAAACCCTGGCATATGAACCCTGGCATAACCAGGATTCTTTGGTGGAAATTTTTCCTGTCAGTCCTTTTTTTTTTGTTTTTGTTTTTGTTTTGGATGTAGGGTACAGTTCAGGGTTAAGTAGATAAGTGATCATCATACAGGTAAAATTTGGGACTCCCTTTGGTCACCATTTCACCCGGTTTGAGATCAGGTACCCTTATTGATGTTATGCACCATTCCCCACCCCTGGCAGTGTCCCGTGACTGCCAATCCCTTTCTTACAGTATTATGATAAATGTGCAGGGTCTGCTTATGAGTGAGAACATGTGGTACTCAGTTCTTTCTTTCTGTGATAGATCACTGAGTATGACAAACTCTGAATCCACGCAAGTTGCTGTGAAGTCCATAATCTTGTCCTTCTTTATGGCTGTGTAATATTCTATTGTGTATATGTACCACATTTTAAAAAATCCAGCTCACTTTTGATGGGCAGCATGGTTGGTTCCTTGTTTTGCTATTGTGAATAATACTGCAATAAACATGCATGAGCAGGCATCTTTTTTATAGAATGATTTGAGTTTCTCTGGGTATATTCCCAGAAGGGGGATTGTTAGGTCATATGGAAGGTTGATTTTTAGATCTTTTAGGAATTGCCACACTGTTTTCCATAGAGGTTGTACTAGTTTACACTCCCACCAACGGTGTAGAAGCATTCCCTTTTCCCTGCATCCTCTCCAGCATCTGTTGTTTTTTGAGTTATTGATTATCTTACCAGTTCTTTTTACTTTCCCACTCTGTCTCACTCCCATTCTTCTTCTATTTTTTATGCTGTTACTGTCTTAGGTTTTTATCATTTCTCCTGTTTTCCTCTTCTTCCATTTGTATTTTAACTTTTGCTTGAAGGAATGTATTAATATAGATTACATTCCTGTTTCAGTTATTTATCTATTTTCATAATTTTTTTTTAGGTTTGTTGCTTTCACTGTATATTTTATTTGGAGTTGTCTTGGCTCCCTCTGGCAGTTGACATTTTCTACTGTTTCTTTTTAATTTACCTTATTTATTGAGTCAATTATTCTGGGATACTTGATTCAGTATAAAAGTGGAGATATGCCTGAGCCTGCGGGTTCGAGACCTGCCTGGGCAGCGAGACCTCATCTCTACAATAAATAAAAAAATCAGCTGGGCGTGGTAGCGCATGCCTGTAATTCCGGCTACTCGGAAGGCTGAGGCGGAAGGATCACCGGAGCCCAGCAGGTCGAGGCTGCGGTGGCCGGGAGCGGCCACTGCACTCCAGTCTGGGCAACAGAGTGAGACTCCAACTCAAAAAAAAAAAATAAAAAAAAGGTGGAAATACCTGGCCACCCTGAATGGAAAGATAAGCTTATAGGTCTCTTTTGAGAAAGATTCGAACCTAAATGATATGTGACAATTCTGATATCCCAAATATAAATTTGTTGTCTATAAACTTTTTGAGGTTTTGAAAACAAGTTTATTTGTTGAATTCTGTGCAAATAAAAATCACTGAGAAAGTGAGGATTTAATAGTGAACTAGTATGGTAAATGCATATTTAAGTCATGACACTGCTGAACAAAGAAAATAATGACAATTATGTAACTTTAAAGTTTGTTTTATGTCTTCCTTCCTTCCCCTTACTTCCCTCCCTTCTTCTCTCTCTTTTTTTCTTTCACCATGGTTTGCTTTGTCATACAGGCTAGAGTGAAGTGGTGTAATAATGATTTATTGTAATCTTGAACTCCTAGGACAGCAGGCATGTGCCACCATGTCTGACTAATTTAAAAAAATTTTTTTTGTAGAGACAGGGTCTCCCTTTGTTGCTTGGGCTAATCTCGAACTCCTGGCCTCAAGTGATCCCCCCACCTTGGCTCCCAAAGTGCTGAGATTATAGATATGAGCTACAGTGCCCACCTTGTTTTATGTTTTTTATTGTCTGTTTTAAAAATCTGTACATGTTTAGTATAGTTTGTAGTATAATTTGTTGGAAATGTTGGAGATCAGCTTACTTTGAGATTCTGTTGAAGAAATAGCAAAAATAATAGTATAGTTCAATATAGCCTATTTAAATATATTTATTGTAATAATAATAATAGCTAATAGTTATTGTGGGATTATTATGAGCCATGTATAGCACTAAGCACTTCACATATATTATCTTCTGTAATTATTGTAACCTTGAGAATTGGTTATTACTGTTTCCAGGGACAGATGACAAATCTGAAGCTTAGAGAACTGAGGTGACTTGCATAATGTCATACAACTAATGGATAGCAATGCTGGGATTCCTATTCTAACTCCAAAGTGTGGACTCTTACTCTTTATTTAGTTTCTAATTTTTTCTTGAGGTTTTCTAAATAAGCTGCTTTTTCATTGTCAAATTTTTTTCTTTATGCCCTTTTCCTGATTGTTTTATGTTATAGCTAGCATAGGGCTGTTTATCCATTATTTTAGTTACAGTTCAAACACCAAGTGATTTGGAATTTAAACATTTTTTAATGGTAACTAGGATACACAGGAAACACTTTTTGGTGGCCTTTTATTTCAATTTATGATGTAAATCCTAGATCTTATTTTCTTTTTGGAATCATTATTTGAATAGGTTTATAATAATGTTTGGAATTGGAGAAAAGCAGAAGTAACCAGCATGAATACATTTTACAAAATTTTAAATATATTGGTCTAGTACACTAGATGATCTTGTTATCTCATACTTTAAAAGCAGGAGATACTACTGTAAAAATATTTTATTTGCTTCTGTAAACATTCATAGATTTAAAATTGAGAACCCTACATTTCTATCTGAATTTTCTAAAGGAAAAAGATATTACACTATGAAAATATTAACATCAAGAAAGATCAACAACAGAATTATTGCTTATTTACTCCACGATTATATGAAATAATAGTATTGCAAGAGAAAAAAAAGGTAAGTTGTAAACGTGGCTATTGCATTTATTTTCCAGATTTTAAGATCATTGAATTGTATTGTCACAAAGTTAGTGTACTAATCTCTAACCTGATAGCTAATTGTTACTCAGTATTGTAGAAGAAGCTGTATTTAATATCTCTGTCAAGTTTTCACTGTCTCTGCTCAAATACCTCTTGACATAAAGAACTAATGACTCTTAAGTTTTCCTGTTTTAGTAGTAGACAATTCTTTGTCTTGAAATGTCCTCCTTAGACTAGGTGTACTTGCCTCCTGCCTAATTTTTAGTTTCCCTATTCCTATAATTTCTTTTCAAACTCCCTTTAAATCTTTTCTAGTAATGATAAATGTACCAAGTACTTTTAACGGTCTCTTTATTTAACTTCAAGTTCATTTATTTTCCTTTGTAGCCATCTAGGTACCTTTTTGAAGTATGTGAATGTCTTTTTTATCTCTTGTTAAAAAAATGATATTTTTAACTAAATATATTCTGGGTGTAGTCTGATTTACATAGTACAATTTTCATCTTCCTTGTTCTGGATAGTGTATATTTATTAGTATAAAGACCCAGAATTCCAATTTTTATCGTTATATTTCAGTTTGCTCCTTTGGGACTTATAGGCAAATATAATTGTGCTTTTTTTTCTTTCTTCAGCATATTGTATTTAAACTTAAAGTTTATAGGATGAAAATTTAAAAATGAATACATTTAGAGTAAGGATAAATGATTATTCACTGATGAATCAATTACTATTTCAATAAGAATTTTCTCTTGCATTTTATTTTTTTAAGTCTTCCCTGAATATTTGTCAGCAATAAAAAAAAAAATTTGTGAGTCAGGGTCTCACTCTGAAACCCAGGCTGCAGTGCAGTGGCACAGTCATGGCTCACTGCAACCTTGACCTCCTGGGCTCAGGCAATTCTTCTGCCTCAGCCCCTTTCCTGCCTACCCCCAGTAGCTGGGTCTGCACCATGCCATGCTAATTTTTTAATTTTATTTTTGTAGAGATGAGGTCTACTGTTTTGCTTAGGCTGGTTATGAACTCCTAGGCTCAAGCAGTCCTCCCACCTTGCCCTTCCAATGTGCTGGGATTACAGGAACGAGCCACGATGCCTGACCAGCAATGAAAAGTATTGTGTATAGAAATAGTAGAAAAAGACATAACAGAAGAATATAATACAATTAATTTTATAGAATAACAATTATACATCTCAAAGCTGATAAAATATTAATAAGGATAAGTAGAATCTAATGGATATAATTATCTCAAAATGTACTCAGGAAATGGTGAAAAAAATCTTTGTTTTTCATGAAGTTTTTTTCATTAATATAATATAATTTATTTATTTATTTATTTATTTATTTTTTGAGTCAGAGTCTCACTCTCTGGCCAAGGCTGGAGTGCAGTGGCATGCTCACAGCTACCACAGTTTCAACCTGATGGGCTCAGACAATCCTTCTGCTTTAGTCTTCCAAGTAACTGGAACTTCAGGTGTTTACCACCATGCCCGGCTAATTTTTTTTATTTATTGTAGAGACAAGGCCTTGCCAAGTTGCCCAGGCTGGTCTTGAAATCCCAGGTCAGGCAGTTCTCTTGCCTCCACCTCCCAAAGTGCTGTGATTACAAGTGTGAACCACCATGCTTGACCAATATAATTTATTAAGAGATAATATTTTGATTGAATATCAGTAAACATATACACAGATTAAACTAAGCAAAAATGTTCTAAGTCAACTTTTAAATGGAAAACAGTTTTCTTAGATATTTAGAAATCTTACTAATATGTTATTTCAAACCTTCTTTCATACTGATATCCTATATTTTTTGAAAGGAGAAAGAAGTGTATATGAGATGATTTAAACATTAATATCCAGGTGCTTATATCGCTGAATTATTTACTTGGCCATTGAGTTTACTGTGATCTGAGAAATTTATTTTTGAAATTGTGGGATGAAATTTTCACTTGATTGTATTTCCTGGTCATGGAGACTATGTCTTTAGTGTTTAGCACTAGTGTTAAGAACATGGTAAGGGTGCAGTTACCACTTATTTACTGAATGTATAAAGGAACTAAAACATATTCTATTTTTCATAACATCAACATTATTTTATGTTTTATAGGGACACAAGTTTTTAACATAAAATACCATTTTTCTGTATTTGTTCAAAGGTAGTAATATGTTAATAACTGTTTAGTTTTCTTTCAAAAAAATATAAAACTTTATTAAGGACATCTTATACTGTCATCAGATATTGCCAAAGAAAAAGGTAAACAAACAGGGAAAGCTCTTGGGCTATTGTCACCTCAGAACACACTCATGTATAGCTGGCTGGAATTGCAGTTGGCAGCAAATGCTTTGTATAAATAAATTCATCAAGTTATACAGTGTTCCCTTTCTAAACAGAGAAAAACTGGATTTACTTTTTTAAAAAATTTACATTTTAAGCTTTGACATAGTGCAACAACTATGAAACATGACTATGTTTTTAGGAACTATTTCTTAATAGAATAAAAAGCAGTTTAGTAGCTTTATACTATTTCATATAATGTAATATTTTGAATGAAAAATTCAGAATGGACATTCTAGGATAATATACAATTGGTTAATTTATACTTTTGAGTCTTTTCCTCTCTAATGATTTCTCAGAACCAGGTCAATACTTCAAAAAACATGAGTTGCTCATCTACAGTGACAATCGGCAACTCTGTTTTGTTCTTTTAATTTTGCAAATCAGGGTGCCCAGGTCATCCCAGATTTTGCTGACTCTGAAGGATTTTTTATTGAATAACTCTGAATCAGAGTGCATGTGAGAAGAGGTATCAAATTAGCTGCAACTGGAATGATTTTCCTACACGGGGAAGTTGGCTTTTGAGCACAACTGACTTTCTCAAACTCCTATGGTCCCTTTACTTACTGTAGTCCTGGAAGAAGGAGGAGAGGGAGTGCTGGGGAATCTATGCAAAAGGAAAATAATGTTTGGAACTGATAGTTTCTTCTCATCTTTAGATACTTCAACAACTACTATTTTGTTTTCTTTTTGTATTATTTTCTATTTACAATTATTGTAAAGTATATGACAAAATATTATCTCAGTATTATCCAATTGTATATCACTGTTATTTGCTACATATAAAAAAACTCTAAAAGATAATGAATGGTAATACTAAAAATCTTGGTGTGTTGGGTGAGTAGTAGTCAGGGGAGGGTGTGAATGTTTTAAAGAGCTAAAGATTTGATTACTTCTTGGTGTGTTCTTTTCTAGTGAGATCGAGTATACGGTTTAAATTTGATGATATTTGAGGGTAATTTCTTTCTTTCTTTCTTTTTTTTTTTTTGAGTTGGCATTTCACTCTGTCGCCCGACTGGAGTACAGTGGCCCCTCCCGGCCACCGCAACCTCGACCTGCTGGGCTCCGGCGATCCTTCCGCCTCAGCCTTCCAAGTAGCTGGAACTACAGATGCGCGCTACCATGCCCGGCTAATTTTTTGATTTATTGTAGAGATGAGGTCTTGCCAAGTTGCCCAGGTGGGTCTCAAACCCTCAGGCTCAGGCAATCCACTCACCTCAGCCTCCCAAAGTGCGGGCTTACAGGCTGAGCCACCGAGCCCAGCCAATTTATTTCTAATTACATATATGCTTTGAAATACATACTTAAAAATGTGAGTTTACCCAGAGGTTTGTTTATCATCTTTTATAACTAGATGTAATGTGACTCCTTTTCTTTCAAAAGTCAACTCTGTGAAAGCAAGTCTGACAAGAATTCTGAGATATCAAGGTGAATTTATAATAAAACGAAACAAAGTAAAGGTAATTGCTATTTTGTGCATATTTAGTAAATATAAAACTAAAAAGTGTTTTGCTCAAAATGAAGGTTTGTGTAAGTACTTTTTCTATTGGAGCATCCATAAACTAGAGGAATCAAATCAAATCAAAACAATCACTTTTCATTTCTTTGCTTTTAAGTAGTAAAAAGAATATGAAATTAAATTGAATGAGCTAGTTGGAATATAGAGTATAGAGTACATGGCATTTTCTCAATGCTTTATTGTTATAGAAAATATTTGTTCCTAAGATGTATAAATTTTTAATTTAAATTTTGAGGTAATGAGGGAAGAATGACCTCTTTTCCATTTCCTAAATTCCAAATACTTTGGCTCATATAGCACTAAATGATAGTTTTCCAGTGATTATTATGAAATGGAATTATTAAATTTTTAATTTGTTATATTCACACTAAATGCTGATACTGATTGTGCATACATGCGTGCATATGTGTGTGTAGCCAAGCAAGTAGGTAAAGGCAGAGTTTGGATGGTTGTGTTATTAGCAAGAGATGATAACTGCAGAAGCTGCTCATTTTGGTGAACAGATGATGAGTCCAGGTTTAGACAATGGAATTTGGAGATAAATTATCAACAGTGGGGATTTGAAAATGAAATTTGTAATACAAGTTATGGGCAGAGAGAACATATTTAGCAGTTATCCCCATGAAAATAATAATCGTGGCTCAAGCCTGTAATTCCAGCACTTTGGGAGGCTGAGGTGAGAGGATTGCCTGAGCCCACAGGTTTGAAACCAGCCTGGGCAACTTGACGAGACCTAATCTCTACAATAATAGTAATAAAAAAATTAACCAGGCATGGTAGTCCGTGCCTGTAATTCCAGCTACTTGGAAGGTTGAGGCAGAAGGATCGCCTGAGCCCAGCAGGTCGATGCTGGGGTGGCTGTGAGCGTGCCACTGCATTCCAGCCTGGGTCACAGAGTGAGACTCCGAACTCAAAAAAAAAAAGAGTGGTAATCGAAGTGGTGTGCTAACTATAGAAGAAAATTACAGAGATGAGAAGAAAATCCAGGACAGATCTTTGAGGAACACAGGTTTTGGGAGTAAGGCATGATAGAAAAGCCTGAGGAGAGATAATTAGTGAAGTGGGAAGTGAGTTAGGGAACTTATATACCAAGGAAGTTTAGAGATTCAAAAATGAGAAGGTGTAAAAAT